TCTGCTTGCACTTAAGCACTTCAAACTTTTGAAATCGGAAGTTTAAATTTATGAAAAATATAAATCAACGCAGAAACTATCTAAGTTGCTAAAGTGTTTAAAGATGAGGTAAAATCTTTGAGCCATGACTTAGTGCTCTATACCTTATTCCAAATTTAATCATTGCTTAAATAGTCGAACTTAAATAATACTAGATGCTACTTGGACTGTGAAAAATAAAGAAGGGCACATCTACATAGTAGGCTTTTATTACATTTTTAGATTAGAAGTACTCGAGAAATATGTTCTATAGTGGACCTACCTACAAGGATTACCAATTTATATTGTATATGTCCTGATCATCTAAATGCATAGACAATTTTTCATGCTGCTCGTTTCTTTGGTATTAAAGTAACTTCTAGCGATGCCATTCTCTAACTTGTCACCGTCCAGCTTATGCAACTTCTATATAGGATTATATTTCTTATTATTTATTAAAATAAAATAAAATAAAATAAATTGTAGAATGAGTCTAGAATAAAAGAAAATTTTTCCTTAACTGTTTACTACACCATGTACCCAAAAGTCTTATTGCTCCTATAAACACACAATTCTCTTATAATAATTTTGTTTTAGCCATTTCTGAAATTAAAAATAATGCATACAGATTCAGGAAGCGTTCGTTTTTAACTTTTTGTTCTAACAAAATAAAATAATTAATACGCTTCAAAGCTCTAGCTACTTGTAGCCAGCGGCTGATCGTCTGTTCGAAAAGATGGCGCTTGCCGTGTGATGGTCTTCAGACCAACTTGCCCAGTTGAGGATAATTCTCGTTCGCAGTCTGACACTTCTAGTCATTCATTGGAGTCTGACATTCACTTTGATTCTCTTATAAACGGAGTTATTGACCAAATCTCTACCTTAAGTTTCGAGCCATCGGTTAACATGACAATAAAGAATAAAAATAGGAAGGATAGATCTAAACATGATAAAGGGGAAAGGATTCCAGAACATGAAATTCCCGGGACCTCTTCCAATACGCGTTACAATTACAGCTATACAAAGTATGCATATACTCCTAGGAATGAGATAAGTGATGAATATCCCGGCCCTCATAGAGGCCGTGCACACGCGTGCCAAAGGAAGGAAGTCTGCACAAAAGAGCGAGGTACTTTACCGCTTTAAAAAACTGGTTTTCTCAGATAAATCATTTAATCAATATAGTTCTTCAAGTAACCAAAAACGCCATTGGAGTTCTTCGGTCAGTTTGGAGAACCCTAAGAAAAATTGTGATAGAAGACCCAGTCAAGCCGTCACTACTGAATTGGGGGAAATTTCTAGCAGCGTAACTGTAAGCGAAGATGGTGGAAACAATAGTGAGGATGAATACTATATTGCGACTGGGACTCGTCCCTTGCCAACTACTAAGGTTGGTGGCACCAACCTGGTATCATTTGTTTTTATTTTAGGCCGAAGAGAATAATCTTGAGGATCTGTTAATAGAAAAGAAGGGTTGGAAAATAGTCCATGTTGGTTCCGATGGCGCATGTCTGTTCAGGAGTGTTGGTATGATATTTATTCCATTAATCTGTAAGCCCATCAAATATTTGGCGATGAAGAAAAGCATCACATCATAAGAACTCAAGTTTTAGACTATATGGTAGTAGATTTTAACCAAATTTATACTTAGACAAAAAATGAAGAACATTTTTCCCAATATATAACGGAAGACTTTTCCAGGTACATTGAAAGAAAAAAGAATTTACATTGCCATGGCAATCACGTTGAGATTCAGGCCATCGCTGAGTTATATAATAGGCCTGTTGAGATCTATCATTCTACTGCCGAACCTATCAATGTCTTTCAAGCGGAATATTCAAACGAGCCGCCTATACGCCTTAGCTATCATGGCAGAGTTCATTATAATTCTGTTGTTGATCCCTTTAATCCTTCATTTGGACATGGACTTGGAATGCCAAATTACCAGCCAGGGGTATAATATTTTAGTATTAATATATATAGCTTCCCGAACCTGATCTAATTGCTCGTGCAATGGATGAATCAGAAAATACTCACATTGAGGATGCTATGCTGCGCGACAAGTTAGCTGAAACTGAGCAAAGGGAAATCGAACAATGCATTGAGGACCAAGTGGTTCGTGAATCGTACTTTGAGCATATGTCTGGTATTCGAAAATCGGTAAGCCCATTTAGGCTTAGTTTTTTTAATTGTAGATATTAATGAATATCATGGCCTTAGCAAAAAGCTACACCGATCCTCTTCTCTATGTCCGAATAAGCCTTATGAATGTGATTGTAACTTCAACACGAATAGCATAGTTATGGTAGTGTGTGTAGTTCTCTTTGTTTCCTTTGATTTTCAAATTGCCTTTGAACTTACTTATTCTTATTTTTTGCATCCCAATCGTGGCGGATCGTTATTATATTAAACTTTTTTGTTAGTCTCATTCTGGTCAAAATGCTTAATTCCATTTGTCTGCGTCAATAGCCTTTATAGTAATCTGCTTTACTATGGAGTTACTAGTCTTACTTTGGCTACTGTGTATTCGTGCTTTAGGGATACTTCTCATCTTCAATACAGACTTGCTGCATTTTAACCCTATTTAATCTCAGACTTGTCGTCC